ATAACATCTATTGTAGGTGAAGGCTTATTATTCTAATCTGAATCTTTATGATGTGAAATACTTGTTCTCCCACAGTTTACATAAAGCTCAGGAAAACATAACAGATTACAGCATGTGATAAAAGGGCTGCTTCTGGCATATAATAATGCAGAAGAGATGATGGGCAGCTGTATGGCCTACAGAGTAACCTAACACCAGGCCGAGGCACCAAGGACTGCACAAACAAAATTATGCTTGGCACTGGTCTAAATTTCAAACAAATGAGGCCTTTTATAAGAAACAAATATTTTGTTCTGCAAAATCCTTTCAGTCTAGAATTTAAGTCTTCCTATTCTCTGCATACTTTTAATAGCAAGTATCTGGTGGATTAAACAAAATGTTTTTGCTAAAAAATTAAAAGGTATGCAGTATCTCAAGTTTCTCATAATCTCTGTGTATTTCCCAAAGCAGCTTTTTGTTCCATTTTGTGTACAAGGTTTCAGCCAATTGTGTGAAGAGAGCAGCTTAGAAAGATCTTCTGTAATGCACTAAAAACAATAGGGAAAAAACTCTGCAAGGTTTATGTTCAACATTCTTGCTGCAAATTCAGTCTAGGTAAAAGTAGACCTAATCCAAAATCCATGTAAACCCATGCCACCCCAAAGGATGCTGCAAAATATTTAAAGACACGCTGGAAAGCTCCAATTGAAAACAAACAAAGTGAAAATAAACTGACAATGGCAAAGAAAACAAACAACAGGAGACAAAACCAAAACACTCATCACTCTACTCAAATTGACAAAAATTTTTTTAGCCAAAAAACTGTCTTTAAAAAAAAAACAAAAACAACAAATCAACCTCTCTTTAAAATCCCCAGAAAACCATGGGGTTTAAATCTAAAAAGAGCTCTTCAATGAAGGATTTGTGCTCTCTAAGTAATGACTTTCTAATCATACGGGACACTCTTTTTAAAAAGCAAGAACATCAAGAATAATAATGAATTTATACAACCGACACTTCAAAGAAATTAAATCTTTGCATTTTATCCTCCAACTCATTTCATTTTTATCCTTCTCATATAAGTACATTTAGGAATTAATGATACAGAAAACAGTTATTTGGTCCTAAGCCAAGGATTTAGAAAAAAGTATATTTTCATATATCTTTAATTCACTAATAAAACATCCTGGAAATTTGCATGAATTACACACTCAATTTTAGAAAAGCAAATAATAAGAAGTGTCATTTTTGGTCCTACTTCAAAGCATTTAAGACAGAGCAGGCTTTGAAATCCATTACTGTCCATTTGAAGATGCCCACGCAGAGAAGCATCTGCTTATTGTTTGAACTGCAGACCTGCTAACCCAGCAAGACAGCCTTGCCCGCAGTGGACGTTTCAGGATAGTTGTTAATTGAGCTACAAGCAGGTGCTGTGGCACCAGTGGCCATTATCTACCGGTGCCTGGACATGCACAGTGACTGCTAAGTGGGCTTGGACACATCATGCTGATGTTTCGTGCTGAAGGCAGCCAGCACTTCGGATGGATTTTCTGAAGCTCTGAGTTATCTTTACTTTCTGCCTCAACCTACAATGCAATCAGAGCCATTTGTTGTCAGGTGTAGCTGCTGACTCCTACAGAAGGAAAAAAAAAAGAACTAAAAGAACTTTTTATTTCTTTAGATCTTAGTGAACAGATTTTACTGATTGTTCTTTGTAATATCATTGTAACAATATTACTGGTGTTATTATTAACCATCTAATTATTATGCTGTAAAACTAGAAAGTAGAAATTCTTCAGAGTTGCTGGTTTTGGAGTTGTCTTTAAATCTGAAGGAGCTATATTTTCAATAGGACAAGTCAGGTCCTTCTTGTGCCCGTTTACGAACCTGTTTCTCCTTGATCATTAAGCACCTAATGACAGCTGCAAGGATTTCACAGAAATACGGGTGCATATTTACATAGTGCACTCATTTGAAGCTTGGTGCTCTCTGACAGACATTGTACAAGGGAGTGAACCTGAAGCTGACCTGAATTTCTTCAGCTAGTATAGAACACAAAAATATTTTTTATAATTTTGTTCCATGGAATGCGCAGCATCTACACTCTGTTTTTTCAAATTCCTATGAAAAAGATAATTGACATGTAAATCTTAGTATGAGCCATAACAATCTGGGTCCTTAGCAAAACCTGTGACTGTGGGAATTACTTTTGATTCCTTTGATTGTGTGATTAACTCTCACTGATTTTAGGTATCACTGAAGATGCTTTATGCTTCTGAAAACCTTTAAAATTGGGCCCTATACTACTGCTTTTATATATATATATATATGAAATAGATCATCTTTTTGTCACATAGAATTTTAAACTGGGAAGGAATACAGATGAGAAGAATCCTCAAAATGAAATTACAGTAAAGCATTAAATATATTCAATGTACCTTTATCCTAAAGACAACCTTTAGGATTCAAAGCTATTAAATTAAATACATTCTAGCAATGGGATACTGATATCCAAGTTTATTTTAACTGTAGAGTTGTCAGTCTTTCCTTATCTGCAGTCTGATTTACATGATTGAATACAATCTCCATGTTTTCAAAGTAGTAATACTGCAATACAAAAGTTCCATAAACTTGGCCTTTTCAACAGCAAATGCATTATATTCAAAATGTTCTTAGATGTAAGTTCTCCCTTATTTAGTCTTCAGTGAAGACCACAGATGGGAATAACATTTGCTCACACTTTATTGCAGAGCAGGCTATTTAATAATCAACGTGTTGGAACACTGTTCATTTTGCCTTAAAATAAGTAGCTCTTAAAAGAAGTAATTTCCATTGGATAAAACTCAAAGAAGCTTCTTTTTCCTTTAAACACAGCATGGAAGTTTAATGAATGTGCAGGCCAAAATCCTAAAAGACTTCACAGCAGTTGCAACTAAATATATATGTACTCATCACAATGAGAACACTGAAGTTCTAATGTTCTTCTGACTAGTTAACACAGTTTTGAGATTTAACGAGAGTAGAAATTTAGTACTCATTTGACAATTGAAAAGCAAACAAACTGATGCATATACAGGGACAGAAAATCATCCATGTGCTATTTTTTTATACATAGTATATGGAAATGTAACTTAAACTAACACTTACCCTCTCCCTGCTACAACTGCAAGGCAAAGCTGAGTTGTGTCAGGGGAGGTTTAGGTTGGATATTAGAAAGAGGTTCTTCACCCAGATGGTGGCTGGGCACTGGAACAGGCTCCCCAGAGAACTTGTCACAGCACCAAACCTGTCTGAGTTCAGGAAGCATTTGGAAAATGCTCTGAGGCAAATGGTGTGAATCTTGGTGATGGTCCTGTTCAGGGCCAGGAGTTGAACTCAACCGACTCTTGTGGATCCCTTCCAACTCAGCATACTCTGTGATTCTGTAAGATGAACCTCTCTTCCAAACAAACCATTAAATATTTCTTCTACTAGCAACAGTATTTGGCAATATTTTAGTAGTTTGCAAGAAAGGCAGTCTGACAGATGAAATAATTTCTAAAATCATAAACAGCTGCACACAGCAAAACTTCACCAGCAAGGTAGCACAAATAATAAAATATGTCCTAGATTAAAGTAATTTGTATATTTCATATTCTCTCTTATTTGCAGAAAACTCTCTGTATAACAGAGATCAAAATGGCTAATGTAGTATTTTAAAGGACATTCACATAACAGGACACTAGTGTTTTGAGGTTTGCTTATGCATTGTTTTCTATATGATCACCTATTTAAATTGGTGCAAGATGCAGCCTTAGAATCATAGAATATCCTGAGTTGGAAGGGACTCAAGGATCATCAAGTCTATCTCCTGGCTCCTGCAAATACAAACTTGTTACAAGTTGCCTGGACTCCATCACTCCAACGACTACTTGTAATTAGCAAAAATGTGATTTTCCTGGGTTTTGTTGTACTGTACACTAAGGCATGTTCTACTTGAGTCCTTTTTTTTTTAAAGTACATTTTTTATTGTGATGTACAGTACATAGGTTGAACTGCTCTTATACTTCACTAAGAATTCATTCTGGCCCAGAGAAATTGGGTGTAAGGATAACTATGTAGATGTTAAGCCTGTAAGGAAAATGTAAAACAATTTCTGTATCTACTCATATTTGAGAGAACATGAAAGAGTATTCAACTTCATTTTTAATAACTTTTTGTAATATTTAAGTCACATGATTTTGTAAGAAAACTGATTTTGTAACCTTACTGTTTGTGTCTCTATAGACACTTGCTGTTCAAATAAAATTCGAAGTCTAACTCTTCTTATATTCCTGTATCTATCTTCCCTTGATAAAAAGAATGTTTTTTGAAAGAATTTCAGTGTTCTCCTTTCCAAATTACAACTAAGATTTATTAACTTCACAGATTTATAACTAACATTTAAATAAAACACATCACATAATATATTTTGTTCTGCATTACATGAATACAAAAGGAAATAAGGTTCAAATGAAGAGAGTTTTACCCTTAGAGCAACACTGAAAAAAACAATGTGTCTTCATTGAAGTATGGCTTTGGCAGGTGAAGATTCAGTACCATTTACCAGTATCACACTAACTGTACTATTATAAACTATTCTAAATCAGATATAGATTCATACACACAGTTAAGAGATTTTGAAACAATTTGTTGAATAGATGTGATATCCTAAGAGTATGTTCTGACTATTTTTTTTTATACAGAGACCTGAACTTGGAATTACTGTGATTCATTTTTCTGAAAGGAATATATTATATAATTATTATAATATTATACTGCCTTATACTGCAGCAAATTGGTCATATCTGCTGGATTTAAAATAAAGTACTATTTCATTTGCAGTTGCTTTTGTTTATATAACAATGATGTAACTTTTCCTGGAACCCAAGTAATACTCTCACCTCTGACCAAAATTTGTTATAGAAACACCATCAGCTTACTAGGAGGGTTTTTAAAAGTCTTCTCAAATACTCATCATTTTAATTTTTGCACTTTACCAGTGATACTATCTTCTCAAATAAGTTTTTTAATATGGACGCAATGGAATAAAGTGTTGTGTAAGCACACCAACCTGAGAATGTGGAGGAGGATCCATTTTTGTCCCGCACTACCTTACGTGACGTGACCTTGCTTAATCTCCCCATACCTCAGACTTCCCTTTGGTAAGTGAAGATGAAGGATGTATCCCCTGACGTAGGTTTGCTGGTGTTATATATATATATCTTCTTCATCCAGTTCTTGGCATGTTTCTTTAAGAGGGAAAGGGGAAAGCAGGATGCTAAAACAACAACAACAAAAAAAGGCATTTTTACAGCTATCTCCATCCCTGGAGGTTTTTAAGATGAAACTGGATGTGGCACTTAGTGCTATAGTCTAGTAACCACGGTGGTAGTGGATCAAGGGTTGGACTTGATGATCTCAGACGTCCTTTACAACCCAGCTGATTCTATGATCCTATCAGGTATTACATTTGGAGGGGGGGTTGTTGAAGTTTTTCAGTTTCTTGGGTGGTGGGGATTTTTTGGGGCATGAGTGTGTGGTTTGTTTCTTGGTTGCTTTGGGGAGTTGTGCGTTGGGTTTTTTTAAATTGCAGTGCTAGAAATCTAAAGACTCTGTGTGGTAGGATTGTTCACCAAGTTTTTCCAAGTTTCTGTCTACTCATTATAATCCAGTCTGTGTCCTTTCAAGAGAATCGCACTGCAAAACTAATCTATCATTGTCTGGAACATCCAGACGCATTTGTAGACATTTGACTTTCCAAACTGCATGCATGATATAGCTCACAAGGATGATCTGGAAACTCTCCTGCCAACTCTCATCATATCTGGAAGTGAATGGAAACAAAACAAAAAAAAAGTCTTTCTCAAGAAAAACTCTGCCGTATCATGCACTAAGGACCACTTTGTTCCTTATGGTTACATAAAACACAGTGTATCCTTCACAAAGATTTTTGCAGATGATGTTATATCACTCTGTACTGCCTCTACATGAATGTCTTCCAAACTGCCTGTAAATTCTAAAATCACATTTAACAGCAAAAATATTTTAATCTGTGTAAACAACTCATTCGACATAAGTGAAAAGGTGTAAATTCAGCTAGAACTGTTTCAATATAGTGGGATTCTTTACTAAGCTCAGTTTCTTTTCAAGTAAATAAACATTCATTGTCCATCAATGCAATAATAGCAGTTTTAAAACATCTGAAGTTTTATGCCTTACATGGGTCTTTAAAAAGTATTAAAACATTAAAGGGTTCAGGTATTTATATTTTGGCAATTAATGTTTTAATTATATCTTAAATGTATCTTCAGACACATCTTAAAGGTTTATTTTTGCATGCCTGTTCATTTATTTTAGTTTTCTGTGTTACATCATATTTTCTTTTTCTTCCTGTTTTCTGTCTGTCTTTTGTTCCTCACTACCTGATCCACCTGCTGTTACAAGCAGGTCTAGGCTGGGTCAAATTAAGGACCACAAAACTCTAAATAAAAATTCAGATTCTGCTTACAAGATGGACGCAAATAAAAGCTCCCAAGGTTGACTCCCACCAGTAGTATTTTACTTCTAGAAGATTCTTTTCCCCTAGAGCACAGAGTACAGGCAAGAGATATGAGTTTTAAATGAAAACCAAATTTTGCAATAGGTCTAAAAGGGACATGGTCACAGAAGAGCTCCTGCAGCCTCTCTACTGCCACCAGCAAGGGCTGGTTTCACAAGGAGCACGAGGGGCTCTAATACCACACTGCTCTTGCACCTCATTTCAACTTGCATCATTCTCAAATGTTTTCACAGGCCCCTGAGGAACAGTATTTCACTGGAAAAGAAAAAAAAAAAAAGAAATTGGAAAAACACTGTTCCCTTCTGCTCTTGTTACCAAGTATTACCCACTGTACTTTGGGCTCCCTCCCACCTCAGCCTAAATAAACTTTCCCCCTTGGTAATATTTCATGCTACCCAAGTCTGCCAGTGACCACTGGGTCATAGAGTGTACATTCTAAAAAGCTCCATTCTTTTATCCTTACCTGAAATCTTTGGAAATTACCTTGGACACATCAGATCTGTGTCCTGCTTAATGCAGACCAAGGTAAGATAAATTCTAAAGTAAACAAAAGCTCATCTGGTGTAAGTCTTTCCTTTAAGTAAGTCAACAGGCAAGTGCTTTGGCCTAACTCCACATTAGAAACAGTTTACAATAAAGGACCTGAATTATAAAGTATGTTATACTAATATATTACTAACAAATTTGAATATTCTGACTTTTCATTCACAGTAATTTGCTAAGGAATATTCTTAATAAAACAGTGAAGGTAGTGAAATGTAAACTCCACTTGCTCCCTCAGATCCTTTCTTTCTTCTAAGGAAAAGCCAGGATAATCAGAAAAACAAGGTGAAAGTCTTAATATTAATTTTATTATATGCTCGCTTGGCCCCGGCAGATGAACCTTAGGATTAAAGGGTGGGCTCAGTTCCGCGCACACTGTGTCTCACCTAAAAAATCCAATGCGCAGGCTGGAAGGTGTAAAGACCTTCCCCGGATCTTCGCTCGTGAAGACTGGCCATTATTATTATTATATTATTATAAAGGAATGCAGAAGTTTCCTATGTTTGCTCTGGGACAATGGCATATGAAAACAGACGTTTTGAGCACATCAAAGAGTAACTTCTAGGAGTCGATAAACTGAGGGAAAAAGACATCTTAAAGACTAGAATTTTTAATGCTAGGACCATTCCCAAAATTGTCATTTGTTAGACTGCACTTTTAGGTGGAAAAATAAAATGGGAAAGAAATTCCACATAGAGGTTTCCAAGTAAGCAAAACCAGTGGTAAATTTGGCACAACTACTGTATATTATCTTCATGTAGAAATTTTAATTTCTTTTAAAGCTAATGTAGTAGCAAGTCATTAATAATACATATGATTTCAATATTCTATGGGACTTCTCCTTAATTAAGACATGGCAATTCAAAAAAGCAGCAAGAAACAAAAGATGCAGTGATTTTCATAAAGATAATTTGCTAAAACAATGTTTGATTGAAATACAGTTGAAATGTTAGGATTCTACAGGCCTCATATTACTACAATCCTTTTTGCATGAGCAATGCCCTGAGTTTTGCTCTGAAGGCAGCTGCTATAATTTTTAAGGCCACCTAATCATTTTCCCTGAACATTCCTCATAGACGTAAAAGCTATTTTCCACACTTTGTTTCCATAGATACAGTGATTTTTTTTATTAATCAGAATGATAGCCTGCAAATTGCTAAGCAAACACATCATCAGCAAGCAGTTAACATTCCATGCTGTGTCTGTTTAAACAAGGTCCCACTCCGATCACATTTAATTTTGGACAATTAAGGCAAAGTGAGATGGGACACCATGATGCTTTGTAAATGGAGATTTTAATACTTAGGTTCAAGACAGAAACCTTAAGTTAACCTTAAGCCAGTTAGCAGTTAATACCACGGTTACAGAGCACACAGAACAGCAATCAGTTGCTGCTTCAGGGAGGAAAAATCTGTGTCAGGAAGACCAAATTAAAGCATCATTCCATCCAAGTATTTGACTAAATTGAATGTTAATCCAGGAAAGCTGAACAGATATACCAAATAGCAGAGGGAAAACAGTGTTCTCAATCTATTGAGCTAAACAAAACAAATCTGGAAACATGCATCCAAAGAAAGGCTCCAGCATCTTTTGCAAATAGTGATTTTGGGGTTTTTCTGCCTGAATAGGCCAGTGGAGCAAAACAGATGAGCCTATAATTACTGCTGGACTAAAGTTGCTACATTAGTTTTCCAGGGCTGTAAAATCTCCACCTTGCAACTTGAGTATATTCATTAAAGTAACTGAAAGGCTCTGAAGAAATGGGAAAACTCAGAGGTATTCAGAACTCAAAGATATTTTAAAATAAAAAAGATAACTTAAAACCATATCCACAAACATTCTCTCTCTCCTCTATCTTCTCCAAATATTTGAACTTCTTAAAAAGAAGAATGAGATTATACCAAGAACATTTGCAGCAAGTTGAAGAAACAAAATAAAGCATGGTTCTGTAAAAAAAGAGGGAAAAGGAAGTGTGTTGTAGAAACACAGTATTTAAAACTGGTCCTCCCTGAGCAGTGTTCATGAGACAAGTATTTGATCCTCATATTAAGTGTCCAATATTGAAATATGCCACAGTATAAAGCAAGGTGCAAATTCAGTTGACTCTAATCGAGAGAGATAGTGACGTCATGGATAAAAAGTAACTCTGCAGGCTCTTCTGTGCCCATCTCATACACTCATATAGTTACATTTATCAAACAAAACAGCAGAATGAGGAACCTCCCAAAACAGACACATAACCTCACCTAGGATCATCCCTAGTTAAGCTTCATTTATGCTTGTGACAGAGATAATTTCCAGTTTCTTGCTGCAGCTGAGGCTGATGTATCTGTCATTATGTTAGTCTGACAGTGTTTTTATTGTGACTTCTCAACCAAGTCCACCACCAGTGGGCAGATATCACTATGGCAACTCAGCACAAGTGGAGAAACTGCTCTGAAGCTGTTAGGCAACACAATGCCATCAGCTGCTGATGTTGCTTAAGTTTAGTACAGGTCATGTTGTCTGGATTTAGGTACACCAAAAAAAGAGCATTCCAGAAAGCGATGTGGAAACAAGCCGTTTTTGTGATTAAAAAAATGAAAATTACAATACAGAGCAAAAAAAAGAATAAAACAGAAAACTGGCTTACATTTTTCCTTTTCAAAACTCAATCTAAAATAGAAAATTGGTTTAGTAGGCTTTTTAAATGTAGGATGTGTAATTCTTAACACACATAATTTGTTAAAAAAACATATTGCAGAAGTTTTAAAAAATTTGTAAAACAAAAATTTTGAAAATTACTTTTACTTTAGAACACTTTTGGTTCATATCCCTGCAATAATTTTAATTTGGCCTGCAGTGGTTTATATAAAACAAATCTTAGCAACTTTCCTGATGCAGAAAATTCTTAACATAGTTTGAGGAGTGCAAATCGTCAGTAGAACTGCCCTTCACTTTGGCTATCACAAGTGCTAAGACAGCTACAGAAATAAGTGCTTTATCTCACACAGGGGATGGCTCCTGCAGAGGAGTGAAGTGCCTTGCAAGAAGAGTGTGGTCAAGTTAATGCTGCTGCAGCTGCCTGCCATGTGCTTGCTTTGTGGAGAAAAAATAC